CCGCCATGGGGTAGAATTAATAGGGTGCAGCTTACTGAATGATTAAAAAATGTACGAAGAATAAGCAACAGCAACTGTACTCTTAAAATTTCAAGATAATTCCTGAATATTCAAAAACCTGAAAATAATATCCTTGTATTTACATTAGGAAGTAAAGAACAATTTAACATTGAATGTATATCTAAACAATTATGAAGCTTGTGTTATATAAAATGCCAGCCTTCAATGAATGCAAATATTTTGAAGACTTGACCTTAACTTCAAACAAACAGCAGTTGCAGACAAAGGTTTTCATTAATCTTAAAGTGACATATAGAGAAAAGCCTACTAAATATTCTGCAGCAGGCTAGATAATTAATCCCAAGGGATTAATTGTACCTCTCTCATCATTTTCTTCTAAAGTTACAAGTAGAACTTTTTCAGTATTAATGATAGAATGGGGTTTTGATACAACTATCTTAAATATTAATAATATTCTTGAATTAACATAAAGTGAAAAAAGTAAATCAAAAAATCTTCTTTAATCTATTTCTTGTTTTTAGAATTCAATGAATCATAACTATTAAACAAAAATAAATTATAAAAATTTATATTTAAATCCACATTTCAGAGTGTTCATAGCATTCCAAATTGACTTAACTTCAAAACAAACTTCATTTGCAAACAGAGTTGGTAATTCATCTCAATGTGACAGATAAAGATAATGCTTTGGATTTTCTTCAGGAGGAAAGCTAATTAATCCCAACAGACTCATAGCAGCATTCAGTTTACAATGTGAACATCTTCAGCAGTTATCTCTCTTTACCAATGCATTCTTATATAAAGTTAAGGAATCTACCCCACCACCCCAGCTCCAAACCAGGGAACATAGAGAACCAAACTTAGCATCAAAATATGTATTTCTGCCTACTGAACTACCATACCAAATTTGTACTTGATTGGGCAACCATAAAAAAAGTTGCCTATACATTCTTATGCATAGTTAAGGAATCTACCCCACCACCCCAGCTCCAAACCAAAAGACATAGAGAACCAAACTTAGCATCAAAATATGTATTTCTGCCTACTAAACTACCATACCAAATTTGAACTTGGTTGGGCAACCATAAAAAAAGTTATTAGAAAAAAAGCAGAAAATTTGTGGACGGAAGAGTGACAGACGAACAGACAGACAGACGGACGGACAGACAGAGTGATTACTATAGGGCTCCCGCAAATCTTTGCGGGGCCCTAATAAGTCTCCCTTGGGCCACAGAGAGTTGCTGTGTAAAATTTCAATGCAAAAGCAAAAAGGCTTCTAGAAAGTGTTACAGACAGACAGAAAGACACACGGACAGATGCACAGGTATTATTCAGAGAACAAATGCTCACTGGATCCATATCAAAATACATAGAAAATTCTATTTACTCAGGGGTTCGTTGACTTTTAAAGCATCATACCGGTGACTTTTCATACCAATTTTACATAGATCATTTTTTCCAAGGAGGGGTCCTGAAGGTCACCTTTAGTACAATTCACTGTTATCTTTGGACTTTCAGTAAGGTGTGGTATTTATGATGTTATATCATTAGCCACTTAAATTTACACAGCTTTCATTCATTGTTGAAATATATGTAGCTGGGATTGAAATTCAGGCAAATGTCAAGGAGTGTAGCCAATTTCAAATAACAGGATTACATATATGAGAAAGACATAAGGGATTAAGTTGTCTCATCATTGTCAAGAATGATTTAAAGTCCCTGATGTTATTAATTTCTTAACCAATTAAAATCTATTCGCCATTTGAATGACACTAGTGCCCAGAATACCACATCTTACTAAAAGTGCAAGGGTGACAGAGAATTGTACTGCTTGGTTTAGTATGTACATTTAATAACTCTGCCATGTCCAGGGGAAGACACACATTCACCCCTAGATCCACCATGAAAAGAAGATGGGCGCATTTGGCGGGTGATCTGCAGGAATAATTTGTACGAAACACTTATGGTTTAAATGTCCATGATTTGGTTGGCTGAACATACCTGGTCAGATTTTACAAACACGTCCATGTTTTTTTTTTTCATTTAGTTTGAAAGACATTGTAAAATTGTAACATTTATGTCCATTTTTTCTTTGGGGTACTATAGCATAGTAATATTTCACAAAAAATAAAACCTAAAATATTTAATGCATAGATGCATGATACGTGTACATGTACATTATAAAATAGAAGATTAGAATTGATTTCGCTTGAGAACCAAACTGAACAAAAATTTATCTTATTCAAAATTTTAATACATCAGTACATAAAACGAAACTGACGAACTAATTGGTTGCTTGCCTGAATAAAAAAAAAAAAATGAACGCCCCATGCCAGGCTCGAACCAAAAACTTTTCGCTTCGAGTGCACTGAACCGGTAGCCTACCTAAGTGAGCTATCACCGCTTCACTTATACTCTTGATTTTAAATGGACAAAGACGCGCCACATTGACAAATTTGGATTTTTGGGGGAAAAGTTCATTTTTCGTGGTCTCTGGGTCTTCTCTCCATTTTTCAAAAAAGTGTAATCGTTTCTTTGAATTAAAATACACACAAATAACGTTTCAAAATCATGGAAAGAAGACCCAGACATAGAAAATTTTTAGAAAAATGTGATTCAAAATGTACAATTTTGTACCATATGTCTGATATGGCCAATTTTCAAGTTATTTTTTAGCAAATCAAAGCTCAATTTCGGGAAAATATTTTCCGTTCCTGTTGCACAGGAACCCGATAAATAAAAAAAATGTTAAAATTTCATGTGACATGTCAATAAAATTTTCACTTTTCAATTACGCCCGGGTTCCTGCCGAATGCCAATCAAAAGCGCCCTAGTTCTTTCAATCCTATAGAAATTATACTATGGAACACAAGAAAAAAAATTATTAGTGCTGAAAAAAATTATTGTGTAAGGGTGATTTTGACAGGTCGGTCACAGTACATCTAACAAATAATTTTTTTATTTGACTTACTTAACCCTTTTAATTATGAACTCTTTCAGATAATTCATTTATAACCTTATTGATTTTGAAGAAACATAAACAGTAACCGCATACTTATTAGCTCACCTGAGCCGAAGGCTCAAGTGAGCTTTTCTGATCACATTTTGTCTGTAGTCCGTCTGTCCGTCCGTCCGTCTGTCCGTCTGTCCGTCCGTCTGTCTGTAAACTTTTCACATTTTCGACTTCTTCTCAAGAACCACTGGGCCAATTTCAACCAAACTTGCCACAAAGCATCCTTGGGTGAAGGGGATTCAACTTTGTTCAAATGAAGGGCCACGCCCTCATTCAAGGGGAGATAATTGGGAATTAATGAAAATTTGGTGGCATGTTTTAAAAATCTTCTTCTCAAGAACCACAGTGCCAGGAAAGATGAAACTTATATGGAAGCATCCTCAGGTAGTGTAGATTCAAGTTGGTTCAAATCATGACCCCCGGGGGTAGGGCGGGGCCACAAAGGCCGACCAAAGTTTTACATAGAAATATATAGGAAAATTCTTTAAAAATCTTCTTCTCAAGAACCACTGTGCCAGGAAAGATGAAACTTATATGGAAGCATCCTCAGGCAGTGTAAATTCAAATTTGTTCAAATCATGACCCCCAGGGGTAGGGCGGGGCCACAATGGCTGACCAAAGTTTTACGTAGAAATACATAGGAAAATTCTTAAAAAATCTTCTTCTCAAGAACCACTGTGCCAGGAAAGATGAAACTTACATGGAAGCATCCTCAGGTAGTGTAGATTCAAGTTTGTTCAAATCATGACCCCCAGGGGTAGGGCGGGGCCACAAAGGCCAAACAAAGTTTTACATAGAAATATATAGGAAAATTCTTTAAAAATCTTCTTCTCAAGAACCACTGTGCCAGGAAAGATGAAACTTAGAAGAAAGCATCCTCAGGTAGTGTAGATTCAAGTTTGTTAAAATCATAACCCCCGGGGGTAGGGCGGGCCCAAAATGGCCGACCAAAGTTTTACATAGAAATACATATGAAAATATATTAAAAAGCTTCTTTTCAAGAACCACTGTGCCAGGAAGGATGAAACTTATATGGAAGCATCCTCAGGTAGTGTAGATTCAAGTTTGTTCAAATAATGACCCCCGGGGGTAGGGTGGGGCCACAATGGCCGACCAAAATTTTACATAGAAATATATAGGAAAATTCTTAAAAAATCTTCTTCTCAAGAATAACAAAGCCATAATTGATCATATTTATATGGAAGCGTCCTGCGGTAGTGTAGATTCAAGTTTGTTCAAATCCTGACCCCTGGGGATAGGGCGGGGCCAAAATGGCCAACCAAAGTTTTACATACTAGAAATATATAGGAAAATTCTTTAAAAATGTTCTTCTCAAGAATAGCAAAGCCATGATTGGTCATGGGACTCCTTTTGGATTTAAACTTTTCAATAATAAACCAATTTCTACTCAGGTGAGCGATGTGGCCCATGGGCCTCTTGTCTATATAATAAATGTTACATTTCTTAGTTCGACTTTTCCACTCTGCGAGTAGAGTTTTGACGCTGTTTACCGAGATTAAAGAAAACAAGGAAAAGCAAGCTATATATGGTCGTCTAGATAAATCATCGTAGATGACATAGGTATAAACAGTTTACCTGTGCATTTCCTCTGAAAGTGCAAATGAGCGCGATTCTAAGGGAGGGGGGTACTCGGTGTGTTGTGACCATGTATTCCGGAACTGTATTATGTGTTCGTTATTTTGGTTCTCGCTGTTACATGTTCATTCAATTAAAAAAGTAGTTCCTGCGATACACACGTGTTTCCTATGTCATTACTGGTCAAGTGTGTTCCAATACACAACATTGGCGACGAGAAATGTGTTCAAGCCTACGCATAAATGTATGAGTTACTCGGATAAACGGTTTCGGTGAGTGTGACATTCTGATTCAGTCGAATTTGTGCAAGTAACTGTTCGGATTGTGTACCGAATTTGTTCTGTGTACCGGTCCACGTGCTTTCACAGTCATGGCAGGGAAAATAGGCCGATTGGAACCATTTGATAGTGCAGTTGAATCATGGGATTCATATCACGAACGCCTTGAACAATATTTTATTTGTAATGAAGTTAAATCAGAGAAGAAAGTACCCATTTTACTTACACTGATTGGTGGAAACACTTATTCACTGCTGCGAGGGCTCACGAGACCCAAGAAACCTTCAGAAGTATCATATGGCGACCTAGTAGCGACATTACGAAAGCATCTATGTCCAAAGCCTCTTGTCATAGCTGAACGTTTTCGCTTTCATAAGAGGGAGCAAGCAGAAGGTGAGACTATTCTTGATTATGTAGCAGCACTGAGGAAGTTATCTGAACATTGTTTATTTGATGAGGCTATTCTGGATGATATGTTACGCGACAGACTTGTTTGTGGCTTACGCAATGAGCATATACAAAAGAAACTTTTATCTGAGGCTGAACTAACCTTTACGTCTGCTACGGATATAGCCGTTGCTATGGAGACAGCAGCCAGGGATGCTACAGAACTACAGTCTAAGCACAGTCCTAGTGCAAGTGTACATAAACTACATACTAAAAAGAAATCTCACGGATATGGTGGAACATCAGGGAAATATACGCGCAAGGGAGGAAAATCATGTTTCCGGTGCAATGGTGACCACAACCCACAAAGTTGTTATTACAGAGACAAGGAGTGTTTCAAGTGTCACAAGAAGGGTCACTCTAAACATGCGTGTCGCAGCCAGAAGAAAAATAAGATGAGTGTTCACATGATAAATCAAAATGACAGTTCAGATAGTGATGAGATCTACATAAAGACTTTAGAGATGGATATTAACTCCATGAGAAGATCAGATGATGTGATAAGGATCACACCCATAGTAAACAGTGTTAGTCTGGAAATGGAATTGGATACAGGAGCTGCAGTATCTGTTATTCCCGAGAAAATATTCAAGGAGAAATTTCCAAACGTCAAGTTGAAACCCAGTGACATTCTGTTAAAGACTTACACAGGAGAAAGAATAAAACCCGCAGGTGTCGCAAAAGTCAGTGTGAGATACCAGGACCAGCGAAAGGACCTTAATCTGTATGTTGTGAAGAAAGCTGGAGTAACACTGTTTGGTCGAGATTGGCTGAAGCAGATTACACTGAACTGGCCAGAAATAAAAGCGCTTGCAACATGCAAAGCAGAGAAAAATCTCAAAATTGTGTTAGATAAGCATTCGAGTGTATTCAAGGATGATTGGGGAACCTTGAAAGGAATCAAGGCCAAGTTGACAGTTAAACCTGATGCAAAACCCAAGTTTGTCAAAGCCGGACAGGTACCTTATGCACTTAAACCTAAAGTTGAGGTAGAACTAGAGAAGTTGGTGAAAGATGGTGTACTGGAAAAGTGCAACTTTAGTGAATGGGCAACACCAATTGTACCAGTCAGCAAGAAGGATGGTTCAGTTCGTGTGTGCGGAGATTTCAAAGTGACTCTTAACCCAGTATTAGAAGTTGACCAGTACCCTCTTCCAAGAATTGAAGATATTTTTGCTGCTCTGTCTGGAGGACAACAATTCTCAATAGTGGATTTAAAACATGCTTACCTACAGATGGAGGTAGAAGAAGATTCACGTCCCTTACTTACGATAAACACAGAGAAAGGCTTGTATCGTTACAATCGCCTAGTGTATGGTGTTGCGTCTGCGCCAGCAATTTGGCAGCGTTCGATGGATATGGTGCTTCAAGGACTTCCTGGAGTGAAGTGTATCATCGACGATATGATCATCACGGGCAAAGATGAAGCAGAGCATTTACGAAATTTAGACGCTGTGCTTGGCAGATTGACAGAATATGGACTCAGAGTAAATTTGGACAAGTGCCAATTTTTCAAGGATAAAGTATCTTTCTGTGGACATGAAATTGACCGTCATGGATTACAAAAGACACAGAAGAAGATAGAAGCTGTTGTAAATGCACCACAACCTACTAATGTGTCCGAGCTTCGTTCATTCTTGGGGATTGTGAACTACTATGCACGTTTCATTCCCAATTTATCTACAGTGCTTCACCCACTGTACAACTTACTGGAAAAGGACCGCAAGTGGTGTTGGACAAAACACTGTGAGGAGGCTTTCAAGACTGTTAAAAAGCTCATAACATCAGATGAAGTACTTACCCATTATGATCCAAACTTACCGTTATGTCTTGCGACAGACGCCTCTCCTTATGGCCTTGGGGCTGTTTTGAGCCACATAATGCCCAATGGTGAAGAGAGACCAATTGCTTATGCGTCACGTTCACTCAGCACATCTGAGAAAAACTACTCACAGATAGAGAAGGAAGCTCTAGGAATTATCTGGGGAGTAAAACGTTTCAACACTTATGTTTATGGAAGAAGTTTTCGTCTCATTACAGACCACGAACCACTTATCTCTATATTTGGTCCAAAGAAGGGAATCGCAAACACAACAGCAGCTAGGCTGCAAAGGTACGCATTGTTCCTTGCTGGCTACAACTATGATATAATCTACAGAAATACGAAGAAACATGGAAATGCTGACAGTTTATCCCGCTTACCTGTCACATGTGAGAGTAGCGGATTGGTGGACAAAGAAGAAGAAGCGGAAGTGGAGATGTTGCATGTCAGTCAACTGGAACATCTACCTATCAAACCTGAAGCAATCCAGCGTGAAACTAGGCGTGATTACCTCTTATCGAAAGTTTATGATAATGTGTCCAGAGGTTGGTGTGCAAATTCCGAGTCGAAGGAGATGGATCCATACTTTACACGCCGTAGTGAACTTGCTATTCACCAGAACTGTCTATTATGGGGAATACGTGTTGTGATTCCGCCGTCACTGCGAAGTCAAGTTTTGGATGAGCTACATCAAGGTCACATTGGTGTTGTTAAAATGAAAACCTTAGCAAGAAGTCATGCTTGGTGGCCAGGGATAGATCGGGATATAGAACTTTTGACAAAGAGCTGTGCTAGATGTCAGGCAGTAAAGCATGCACCACCAGCCGCACCTATTCACCCCTGGGAATGGCCGTCTAGGCCTTGGGAAAGGATCCATATCGATTTTGCGGGTCCGTTTCTCAATTCAATGTTCTTAGTCATTGTTGACGCTTACTCTAAGTGGCCAGAGGTGATACCTATGAAAACTACCACATCTTCCCAGACCATAGATGTATTACGTACCGTTTTTGCACGTAATGGCTTACCATCACAAATTGTAAGTGACAATGGACCTCAATTCACATCAGAAGAGTTTGCAAATTTTACCAGAGGAAACGGTATAAAACACATAACCTCAGCACCCTATCACCCCAGTACTAACGGTTTAGCAGAAAGATTTGTGCAGTCATTCAAGATGAGTCTCAAGTCGAGTAAAAAGGAAAATGGTAGCATGGTGAAGAAACTCAGCAATTTTCTAATGGCTTACCGTAATGCTCCACAGTGCACAACAAATGAAAGTCCAGCAAAACTATTCATGGGCAGAAACTTACCATCTCGTTTAGATCTCATGAAACCAGATGTCAGGAGGAAAGTAGAGGAGAAACAGTGTGAAGTGCGCGAAAGAAGAAAAAGTGTGTTACGTAAATTCGAACCAGGAGATTCTGTTGCTGTTCGTGACTACCGAAAGGATCATTCTCAGTGGACTTCCGGAACTGTGACAGCTCAGACTGGACCTGTATCATATTCTGTAGAAGTAACACCAGGAGTCACATGGAGACGACACGCTGATCAGTTGCGTTCTTCGAATGTGCCAATTCAGGAGGACTTACATATTCAACCTAGTAACACAGCTGAGAGTCAACAACCAGTAAAGTCAAACATCGCAAAACAGAGCTCACCCGCGTCCAATGCAGAACCACGCCCTTCGCATCCATCCAATGATGACCGTGCCATGCCATCTACTCAAGCCGTCCCTGAGCCAAGATATCCAAGTCGTGTCAGGAAACCGCCCAAACATCTTGCAGATTATGTTTGAAGTGAAATGTGATACTAGTGCTTACTGAGGCATAATAATCCTCATGGTATCACAGGGAAACAAAAGTTTCTCACTTGTATATATGTTGCTATTAATGCTTTGTTCGTAAATGTATAGTTTACATTTGTATGTAATATGTTTCCGTGAATTACATTATGTACCAGCAAGGCACAGGAATTAATGTAAAGGGGTAAATCTTACTTCAAAACTTAAGAGGGAGGAATGTTGTGACCATGTATTCCGGAACTGTATTATGTGTTCGTTATTTTGGTTCTCGCTGTTACATGTTCATTCAATTAAAAAAGTAGTTCCTGCGATACACACGTGTTTCCTATGTCATTACTGGTCAAGTGTGTTCCAATACACAACACGGTGTAAATCGGAGTTAGATACCTTGTGTTATTATTATACTATGGGTCCAAAATTTATTACAGAAACAAGTGCCTGTGATCTGTAGTTAGAATATCAAGCAGCAATTTATTTTTACTAGCAATGAACTTAATAATTTTGAGCTAAATATGTTTAATTCGCCCTAGAAAGTAATATTAGGTGGATCAGCAGATTAAAAAAATAATTAAACCATTAAACAAACATATTTTCTCTATAATTCATATCTTTAAAAAATTCGTTTGCTTTTACGTTTAGAAATCTAGCATGAATATCTTAATTACAGCATTTCCGTAATTTCACGAGACAATGTCTATTTTTAGTAACAATCCTTTCAAAAGGAGGCCCGGTTGACCCCAAAATTTACACTGATCTGGAAAGGACAAACACTCAGTTAAGACTCTGAAAAGTTTCAACAAAATCTGTAGTTCCGTTATTTCTATAGCATGGTATGGATCTTTACCTTAAATCTTTTATGCCACTTCAAAACTAACTGTTTGCTGCATCTTCGTCCTGCTTGTGTCATTAATTTATGTGTCTGAGTCGGAGTTTTCCCCAAATTTTCACAAAACTTGATAACTGATCGAATGTCTTCTTTTTCTATCGATGTCATGATCGATAACAAATCATCAGTAAAATGGGTAAATATCCAGGAAATCGATAAAACTTTCTTACAACGGTTTAAAAGAATTCAAGCAAACTTAATTATGACGTAATTTTTGTTGCAAGTGATATTTAGCGCCTTTTTAGATTAATATTTTTTATTAAAATTAAATGATGTAGTACAAATAAATGTCTCCCCTGCCTTTTCAAACATCCGTTTCTATGGCAACTGCCAAATTCTTTTCAATGTTTTTTAAAATATTTTTTTATTAAGAAAATTCATCAAGTCTATACATTATTACCTGAAAATTTCAATTATTTCCATTAAGAAATAAAATAATTATGAAGAAATTCCACGAACTATTGGATCAACCCTCGTATACATGTATTTCGTATTTATCCGTATGTGATAGGTGTCTGTGTGTTTAATCTCAGATATAATTTTTATTATAGATCATGGAGACAAGCTTTACCCTTTCTCCTTTGGAAAAAAAACCCATCAAGAATGCATTCCTCAAACCGCCTGTTATAACACTTGCTGAAGCAGCCTCGACTGGACTGCATTCAAGGTTATCGATTGGGCCAGTGGAGATACTTCATGTACGCAATGATTTTTTCAATTAAAATATTACACTCGAATAATTTGAAAATAAACAAATTATTTTTTAAAAGGAAATCCGCAATATGTTTAATCAAAATTTTCTCAACCTCCTTGTTATCCTGCACTCTTATCCATTAGTTACAGAACTGTAGCGCTGTGGTTTTATATATTAGTCTTTGACCATGAGGCTACAAATCCCGAAATGCAAAAAGGTGCAAGATTTTTTGCGGACTTTTAGGGAGAATTTCTTTACTTTCCAGCATTGGTCAATCACTCCCTGACTCAAATCACATTCTGGAACCAATTTGTATATTCTGTCCACCTTGCATCCCTTAAATGTCGTCTCTACAGGCGAAAAATCCGCTCGATTTAAATTATTTGTTGAATTACTGAAAATTCACTTCAAGCCATTTTATCGTCTGTACAGAAGAATATAAAGAGTTGCAAGGTGAATAAAATATACAAAATGATTACAGAATGTGTTTTGTATTAGCGAGTGAAAGGTAGTAGGTTGACTTATGCTGGAAAGTGAAGAAATTCTCCTAAAACTTGCGCCGTAAATTGCACATTTTTGGCATTACAGGATCTGTTCTGTAGCGTTATGGTCAAAGACTGATATAAAAAACCATAACGCTACAGTTCTGCAGCTATCTTTTCCATATGTGATTATAAACGATTATGATGCAATCTCAAAACTAGTTAATTATTTTAAATTATAATTCATATATACGATATTTTAACTTTTTTTTGGTAGATCGGGGACATGTCCACCAACCTTTCACGTAGGGAGGTTAAGGTCGGTATGGATGGCAGATCTGCCTTGCTGACCCTTTGGGGCAGATCTGCCTTGCTGACCCTTTAGGGCAGAAATGCAGAAGAGCCATCCATATCAATTGGACATCTGTATCAAATCCTTGCCATCAAAGCAACCAGCGAGTTCAAAGGCCAACGAGCCTATAACTCTACCCAAAACACCATTTTCAAGGTAGTTACTCAATATATATCATAGTGAGAAAATGTTGAATTGCTTAAATTACTTTTAATCTATACAATTTGTTAACTACATTATTTGATAAAATTTGCTTGAAATAAAAAAAAAAAACTGCGGCTATCAATTGACTAATAGGTTAATATCCGGTAATTGCATCATAAATCAATCGTTTAAACTTTTAAAATAAATTTCGCCACACTTGCGCCTTACATCGTTCTCGGAGAAGCAAACGGATAAACACCTGTTAATACCCTCAAACAGATAAACACCTGTTAATACCCTCAAACAGATAAACACCTGTTTATACCCTCAAACAGATAAACACCTGTTAATACCCTCAAACAGATAAGCTTTATATTCTCATATCGAATATAAATTGAAATTAATATACACATATACAATTCATGCAATTCAAAATATAATTATTACTTTATTCAATACATTTCATTTTTTAAAATACAGTCTTTTATATCAAATGACCCGGCCGATGACATCCCACAAATCCACTTTTCGAATCTGTCCGTATCCTCTGAATCTGTGGGTCATCTGAAATCGTGTTTGATTCCCGTCAGAAATGGGAAAATTAATAATTCCTCCTTAAGCCTCCTCATCACACACACTCGCATTCCTCTTTACTCTTTTTTTTTTTTAATTGTAATTAATTTTTTTTAAGCATTTTTAGCCGTCATACTTTACATTGTTCTCTGCCGTCATTTCACTTCCCAAAGCGAGGCCACTCCAGCTGCTGTTCCGTCTATCGAAGCAAAGAAAAGACCTCCTCCCCGGCTACCTTCATTCAATAGTACACGTGTTCTGCGGTCGGGGGGGGGGGGGAGTAACTCTCGGCATAAGATTACGTCAGCGTTACTTAAAAAGGACATACATGTTTTAGATTAATTATTATTAGTATTGGTTTTGTTGCATTTTATTTTTCACACTTTTGTTTTGTTTATTTTTCAATTTTTTTTGGCAACGAAGGTGTTGTTATAAAAAACCTTCTACAGAAGGATATAGTTACACAAATGCAAATTTGCTAAGCGGATTAATAAATATCTAAAGTATTAAAGCAGTGGTAAGTTTTCTTTTTACTTCGTTTCGGACAAAACAATACAGAATTCTCCCCGCTTTATTTGGTAAACTTTATTCAGGTGTACTTGTGTGACGAGAATGGTGCAAAATATTTTTAAAAACGGGCAACTGCTGGCAGAATAAATTGTTTTTCCATTCAACTTACATGTACTTCTATTGGACTTTTACGAGGAGCGCTGACTTTCACAGTTGACGCTTATTTTAACACTAGGGCTATGTACGGTAGGTCCTTTACGATATAAATATTTAGCTCAACATTTAATTAAACGGAAATAACGGTTATTTCAATGCACATATAAGTTGTCCTTGAAGAAAACGACAACGATCCTACCCTCAGCTCCCGGACTTCACAAGCTAGTACCCCTAACACCATACCTATGACCACAAGAAAGGTTTTCTTATGTATTATCAATTCTGTACTTCCGTACATGATACAAATTTAAATGTCCAAGTAAACGTCAACTGTAGAAGTCAGTGCTTCTCGTAAAAGTCCATTAAGACGAAATTTTATTCACTGTCTACATCACAGCTCGTTAAACGCGAAAACCATGTAAAATAAGCCTGTGTGTTTCGAAGTCGATCAATTCAGCTGCCAGTGAACTGATAGTTCACGCGTGATGTTCTGAGACTTGCGCATCAAATTTAGAACAACTCAATAAAGCAAAGGTCGATGTTTATAAATGATTGTGATTCTTCAGCTATCTGTGCCTGTGTTTTGTTCAAGAGGTTAGCTAAAACGAGTAGTTTGAAGAAGTTTTATGAATTAGTTGGTTCTTTCTTAATTTACAGACGTGATATGTCTATCAGACGCAAAATTATTCGCTTAAACGTACCCAGCATTCCAGTTCCGTGATTCAAAGTGGTACAAAAAATTATGTGTGTATTGCAAAGATTTAAAGTATGATTAATGACAGATGTAACTAGAACTGTCCAATAGGGACAAATACCCCCCGCTGGTTTTTCAGAGAAGGTGCCAATTCAAAAATACTTTATGGATCTAGAGGTGTTCACAATTTACTTACAAAAATTTGCAGTCTGTAAAATATAACTGCTCATCATGTTTCTTAATGAACATGATGAATGAAACAAAGGTGCAACCAAATGAAACATCAGCACTAATACATTGTAAATCCATTGTAACATTTTTTTTTAATTTAATTTGTTTATTTCTGCATGAAAAAAATATATTGTAATTATGTGTTTTGGCACTCTGCAAACTGATTGTTGAAAAAAATCATATTGTACAAAATCAAATTAATCCTGATAACTTTATATCAAATTCATTTGAAAATAAAGAGCTGGTCATCCAATAATGAAGAGCTTTGACAG